TCTCTCCTTATATGCCAGTACTGTACATGTGTTACATGCACATTACTAATTCGAGTTTTTCTGTTGTCATGCTAGTACACTTCAAATAAGCTTTCAAATATGTAAACTCTTCACCCAAGACAAAATAGCTCTGCTGAGTTCCCATGCTAACAGCACTCTGACTCTTCACAATTCACAATTAACTACATATAAAAACTCAATTATTTCCACTGAGTACGTCTATAAGAGCTATCTTAGAAAAAAATGATAATGTGTTGATAGGGTGTCTATGCTGTCTAGGTAGATGAATTAATAGGTTTTGGAACAGTGCAACTGTTTGTTTGTGTTATAGGTTTTGTATACTAGAAAAACATTTTAAACCAAAATCCAGAAGTCTGTATACTTTTATCCAATAGACACACAAAGGAGTAAAATAGTTTTCTCGTTTTCTGGAACAAATATTTAAACAAGATACATTTACTGGAGAAGCAGAAATATATAAGATAAGAACTGTTTTCTGAGAATATTTCTTAGGTTTATTTTACTTATCCCATTAGAAAACCATTTATTTTTTGTTTTAAGAATAAACATCATTCAATAGATTTATACAATAAAAAAGAAAAAACCTGCCAACGGGGTAAAAAATATATAAAATATATAACTATAATATAAAATATATTCTTTGCAAAAGCTCACGTGTTTATCTCTTTCAAATTAGGGCAAAACTAATTATGAACATTTATTTTATTTTTCAGTGCATTTGTTTTACAATATATGGCTATTACTGTCGTATATTAATACTATTGTTATTATTATGTAGTGCAATGTAGACTGAGAGACTATCACAACTAAAAAGAGGTTTGAGTCCCCTTTACAAGTCAATGCACATACTTTTTTCTTTGTTAAATAAAAAAATAGATTGACGAATTTAGCGTAAACATTTACAAAATTTATTTTTGTAAATGCGCCCGAACCCCCCTAGAGACACCGAGGTCCACCCACCACAGTTTCACAAAATCCTGTGGGAAACACATGCACTGCATCAAATATTTATTTACATGTTAGTACAGTAGTAGTTAAAGACACTTAATATAAAGTGAATCCAAGATTAAGATGTTTAAGTGTGTCCAAGATTAAGATTTTTTTACCTAAAAGCAAAATTTTTGATTGAAAAAGAAAATTATTTTTTGCATCTGTTCTTTTGTCTTCCAGCCTTTTAGTCCGGCCATAGATACAAATTAAATTGTACATTTTTTTGGTAAATTTGTCTGTTACTTCCACTTAAGTTCCCTCTTTTTGTACATGTGTATACTGTGATTGAATGTGTGTGCGTATGTGGTGTATATGTCTGTCTTTATGTCGCCACATATGTATCTGTGTCGGCATCAGTGTGTTTCTTTTGTTCCTTCTTTCATCTGTGCATGCACGTGTGTGTGTGTGTGTTACGTGCTTACCTGCCTCAGACTACCTGGTACTTTCCAGCGATTGGATTTCCCAGCAGGCCTCAGCAGGCCTTTCTCCCTCCCACTGCAAAGTCATTAACACTGACACACACACACACACACACACACACACACCCTCTAATGTGCTATTATGGTTCCTCATTCTGGTCCTATCACACATCAAAGTAAGAACAGGGGCCCGCACAGGAGAGATGGTTATCAGTAAACACTTTTGCCCACTGAAGATTTACTGTATCTTATAATTATAAAGGCTCATGGAGTGTATGAGGCTTATAAACATTTAAGGAAATTAGTTTGAGTGGAGTTTATAGTGGTGCCAAATTCACACTAAATACCTGAGCTACAAAAAACATGCTTCTCTTTACTTATAACTATTAGTTTTTCAAAAGAATTGTTTCTAAGGTGCCGTTTATACCTGGTATTAAGATGCGTTTTGGTCGATCGGATCACAAGTAAACGAGGGAGACACATTCCCTTTATAATCCGTCTCTTCTGTTCACCTTAAACCACTTCTGTCTTGAGTTCTTCGAGGGGAGGGTACATTTATAGGCTTTTTCAGATCTTTTGATCTAATGGACGAAATAAGCTCGCACAATTTACACTGAACAAAATTATAAATGCAACACTTTTGTTTTTGCACCCATTTTTCATGAGCTGAAGATCAAAGATCTAAGACTTTTTCTTAAAAGGCCTATTTCTCTCAAATATTGTTCACAAATCTGTCTAAATCTGTGTTAGTGAGCACTTCTCCTTTGCCGAGATAATCCATCCACCTCACAGGTGTGGCATATCAAGATGCTGATTAGACAGCATGATTATTGCACAGGTGTGCCTTAGGCTGGCCACAATAAAAGGCCACTCTAAAATGTGCAGTTTTACTGTATTGAAAAAACAAACAAAAAAAGGTTGTTGATTGTGGCCTGTGGAATGTTGGTCCACTCCTCTTCAATGGCTGTGCGAAGTTGCTGGATATTGGCAGGACCTGGAACACGCTGTCGTATACGCCGATCCATCAAACACATTCATCCATGCTGACTGCAGGAATGTCCACCAGAGCTGTTGCCCGTGAATTGAATGTTCATTTCTCTACCATAAGCCGTCTCCAAAGGCGTTTCAGAGAATTTGGGAGTACATCCAACCGGCCTCACAACCGCAGACCACGTGTAATCACACCAGCCCAGGACCTCCACATCCAGCATCTTCACCTCCAAGATCGTCTGATACCAGCCACCCGGACAGCTGCTGCAACAATCGGTTTGCATAACCCAAGAATTTCTGCACAAACTGTCAGAAACCTGTATCAGGGAAGCTCATCTGCATGCTCGTCGTCCTCATCGGGGTCTCGACCTGACTGCAGTTCGTTGTCGTAACCGACTTAAGTGGGCAAATGCTCACATTCGATGGCGTCTGGCACTTTGGAGAGGTGTTCTCTTCACGGATGAATCCCGGTTTTCACTGTACAGGGCAGATGGCAGACAGCGTGTGTGTCGTCATGTGGGTGAGCGGTTTGCTGATGTCAACGTTGTGGATCGAGTGGCCCATGGTGGCGGTGGGGTTATGGTATAGGCAGGCGTATGTTGTGGACAACGAACACAGGTGCATTTTATTGATGGCATTTTGAATGCACAGAAATACCGTGACGAGATCCTGAGGCCCATTGTTGTGCCATTCATCCACAACCATCAGCTCATGTTGCAGCATGATAATGCACGGCCCCATGTTGAAAGGATCTGTAAACAATTCCTGGAAGCTGAAAACATCCCAGTTCTTGCATGGCCGGCATTCTCACCGGACATGTCACCCATTGAGCATGTTTGGGATGCTCTGGATCGGCGGATACGACAGCGTGTTCCATTTCCTGCCAATATCCAGCAACTTCGCACAGCAATTGAAGAGGAGTGGACCAACATTCCACAGGCCACAATCAACAACATTTTGTGTTGTCCACTTGTTATCGGATTGACAAAAATGCTTCTAAATACCAGATGTAAACAGGGCCTAAATGGGTAAATTGGTTCTTGTCTGGTTCTTGGCAGTGCTTTAAAGTGATACTCCACTTTTTTTGGAAATAGGCTCATTTTACAACTCCCCCAGAGTTAAACTGTTGAGTTTTACCGTTTTTGAATCCATTCAGCCGATCTCCGGTTCTGGCGGTACCACTTTTAGCATAGCTTAGCATACATCATTGAAGTGGACAAGACCATTAGCATTTCTAAAAAAAAATGACCAAAGAGTTTCGATATTTTTCCTATTTAAAACTTGACTCTTCTGTAGTTACATCGTGCACTAAGACCGACGGAAAGTGTAAAGTTGCGATTTTCTAGGCTGATATGGCTAGGAACTATACTCTCATTCCTGCGTAATAATCAAGAAACTTTACTGCTGTACCATGAGTGCAGCAGGCGTAATGATATGACGCAGCGCCTGAAAATAGTTCCGTTGTGTTGACGGAAGGTGGCCTATTTTCAGGCGCTGCGTCATATCATTACGCCTGCTGCACTCATGGTGACGAAAATCGCAACTTTACACTTTCCGTCGGTCTTAGTGCACGATGTAACTACAGAAGAGTCAAGTTTTAAATAGGAAAAATATCGAAACTCTTTGGTCATTTTTTTTTTAGAAATGCTAATGGTCTTGTCCACTTCAATGATGTATGCTAAGCTATGCTAAAAGTGGTACCGCCAGAACCAGAGATCGGCTGAATGGATTCAAAAACGATAAAACTCAACAGTTTAACTCTGGGGGAGTTGTAAAATGAGCCTATTTCCAAAAAAAGTGGAGTATCCCTTTAAAGGACAAGTTCGGTATTTTAAAGCCCTGTTTTAAGATCGTTTCTGATGAAATGGAACAGTTAAGATTGAAATTTGGACACATGCTGCTGGCCCGAGAATTTTCGGTTTCTGGGTGCAACCACAGGTTAAACTTGGTTAAACTTGTTTTTGGAAAGCATCTTTTGCAGCGATTTTTGTCCAAATTTCAATCTTAACCGTTCTATTTCATCAGAAATGATCTTAAAACAGGGCTTTAGGTGTAAAATACCGAACTTGTCCTTTAAGTTTAGTTAAAAGATTCATAATTTAAGTTCATTTGTGTTTGCTCTAAAGCTATCTATGTATATTCTAGTGTGTACTTCTACAGTACATTCTGACTATATAAGAGAGAATGATCTTCTTTCAAACTGGTTCTGTTAGGCCTGTGATTTATATACAAGAAAAAGATGATAGTCTTAATGAGCTCTTGGAATGCCATAAAGAAAAAGCCTTTGGGGTGTTTCTGATCATAATGGTTCGGACAGATTCAAAGAGCCAGGACTTTCTGTACACCTGTGGGTAGCCAAAGGGAGGAGACCTGTGTGTGTGTGTGTGTGTGTGCGTGTGTGTGTGTGTGTGTGTGTGTGTGTGTGTGTGTGTGTGTGTGTGTGTGCGTGCGTGCGTGCAAGCATGCAATTTTAATGCTAGTTTCTTCATGTGTTTCTGATGTATAATATAGCCATTATGGGTATTTGATGGTAGTTTGTACATATTAATGAATATTATACTGTCTTAATTTTTTTTTCAGAGAGGCGATGAAACAACAGGGCGACAGGGTGAATTATCAGCCGCATGCATCACATCTGTGATGTTCATCAAGTGTACATCCTTAAACATTTGTAAAAAGATTCTATTTTCAGTATTAGATTATGTATAAAACGTATGTTTCTAATTTAATATTCTGTTTTAACAAGAATTTTTGGCCATGGATTGTAGATTAGTTTCTTTCTTGACTGATATGTCTGCAAACATTGTAAAAAATCGGATTATCTGATCAGTGTAATGTCCTCCTATCCATCTGGTCTGTAGTGTTGACTTGTACCTCTGTTTGATGCCTTTAAGTTATCTCTAGAATTGTGTTTTCTGGCTATGAACCACACTGGGAGACTCCACCACGTGAACAATAGCTCTGTTCTAAAACTTATTGAGCTGCCCATTTTAATGCATTAGAATTGCTTTTGACATAAAGACTGTTCCAAAAGGTATGAAACAGGATGATGTCACCTTCTAAAAATTTCAATATCACATGCAGCATCACAGTTAGCACAACACCAGAATATTTTGTTCTGTGAAAAAAAATCCCCATATGGCACAAAATATATTTTTTCTGGCCAAAATATATTTTAGATATATGTTTAATATATATTGTAAACAGTACTACTGAAATATATTTAATAAATATTTTTTAAAATCTTAAAAAATAATCTTAAAATGTTTCAAATCCTAAAAAGAATCTTAAAAATGGCATACCAAGAAAAGGTATTTGAACAAAATACAGTACAATTTCGAAATATTATTAGAATTTAAAAGAACAGTTTTCTATTTTTACATATTTTAAAAATGTATTCCTGTAATTACAAAGCTGAACGATTTTTTTTTTTTTTTTTATGTCAACAACAAAAACAAATTCCAAAAATATATTTATGTACATATATTTAAAATCTATATTGGCAAAATATTTTTGCTATGTTTTTTATGGTTAATGGTAAATGTTTTTGTATATCTGCTGCTTATTCTACACGTATCTCACCCCTTGCATGTTTATATATTTAATATTTTGGCTAATTTTGGATATGCTTCCAGCTACCAACAGCATGTTGTAGTCTAAGATCAATTTAACACATTTTACCAGTTTACAAGTCTGCATATTCCACCTGGGCCTTATAATGAGATCCCATAACGGTTAGGATGCTGTCTTAGAAGGACTAAGAAAGCGAGGGAGCTCACTAGGTTTTGGAACAAAGCTTATGTGTGAGTTTGCCGGACTTGTCTTGAACATCTTTTTGCTAGTCTGCATTTACATTTCAAATCAGTCTGATTTTGAAATAAAAAAAATTGTGTAGTTTATTTTTATTTGTTCATCTGAAGTTTGTGTTCATTTTGTCTCATTTTACACACAAACCGCAAAAAAAGCACTGGCATAAGGGAAGCTGGATCAGTGTACAAGGGCAAAATTCTACAGAAAACCTATCCATGTTCTAGCCACACAGTGCTTTGACTGGAGTACATTTTCCTTCAGAAAACAAATGCAGGTAAAAGAATGGTAAACAGCAGGAACGTACGGCTCATGCCCTGATGACTCTGAGCGATAGATGGTCAGCATGTGCGGCCGCTGCTCACCCCAATTAAAATGATCTGGACCACTTGACAAGAAGTGTTTCCACTGTGTATGTGATTTGAACTAGCACTCTTTCCCACTTGCAGATGTTCATTGTGTCTTTTGCCAAACATTCGGTTGCAGACGTTGCTTTAAAACGACGAAACGCACCACCGTTGTGGAGCTCCACACCACGGTGGTCTTCACAGATAAGCGCAGAAGACGTTTAATCTTACTTTGTTCTAATTTCAGATCTTTTCATATGTTAGTCTGCCTTGGGAAAGAGATGCAGTGGAGCAGGACTCACTTGGGGTTATTCAGACTCCAAATGAGATGAATACGTTCTTTTGTAAAAGCTTTCAAGTGATTGCGTTTATTTAGCTTGATTAGTTTAACTGAAGTGAAATGCAGGTAAATCCCTCTGATTTGTTCTGACCTGTTTACTTTCAAAGCCCAAATTTCTCATTACATTACCCTTTTATCCTGTTAAACAGTGGGATTTAGCACATCTTCTGTTTGTCTGACACTTTTGTGCAGTTGTAAATGTTCATAAAGCTCATGTCAGCTTGTCACCCTTATAATCCATCAGCTTCTCAAACGGATCCAGACACCTCAACTCAGCTGGAAAGTTCAACTCGGTCAAGAGTCTGAAGACAAACTGAAAATATATTGGTGCAGGATTTACTCAGTGCTAGTAGATTTCACAAATAATTACAAAGAAATGGCATATTGAACTAGAAGTGACATTTTGAAGTTGAAAGACTGAAATGGTATTTTCTTGTAAAAAAAAGTCCTCCAATAATATGTTTTATTTACATATTTGTTTTTTCTTTTCTTTTACAGTACATTATAAATAAACGCTGAAGTGACGGCTGAAATCGGTCACTTGTTCACACATTCACTATTTTCTAGATGGTGAATGGCACATAGTACACTATATAGGGGATAGGGAACTATTCAGATAGGCTTTCCTTTGGGGAAAACTGCGGCTTTAGAGAGCTCAACTCTTCTGGCCGAGCTGTGATATAAACGAAACGCTATTGGCTATTTTTAAAAGGGGGAGGAGCTGAACCTGTCTTCCTGTTTCAGTGGAAATTACGTTTTCTAATACACATTGGGTGCTTCTCATTTCTTATTTGTGCATCCTCGTTCCCTTATCGAGTCGGTCTCTCGACATTACGTATGGGGAAATCCAATTCCTCGAATCATGAAGTCTGATAGAATAACTCTTTTGCTTGCAAATAGCCAATGGGTCCCGCCATCACCTGATTGGCTGACACTGCTCAATATAGGTGACGGCGGGCGCCAAAAACCTCAGAATCTTTTTTCTTCACTCGAGTCTGTTTTCACCGTTGATGTACGCATTCAGAGCGGAGTATATTAAGGAGTTTTAATTCCCCTCTCGCGTTCCGGTGGATTATATTATGTCTCTTTGTCGCCCGTGTGGTGGACCCATCGAATCCCCGGACGCACACAACTTGTGTGCTGTGCCTGGGTCGGGACCACGCAGAGGCGGCACTCGAGGGATCGGGATGTCCCGCCTGTGAGGAGCTTCCCATCAGATCCTTCGTGCAAGGCTGGCCGTTACACGTAGCGACGACCTTGTGTCTCCTGCCTCTCCCCAGTCTGCCGCCTTCGAGCCGCGGACCGGGAGACGGCAGAGATCTCCATTCGCGGGTTCTGTTGAGGCGCTGACGTCGGCCCAAGGTCCACGCCATCCTCACGTGGCAGAGCCCGTGAGTTACTCTTGAGGCCATTTACCGCCCTCTTGAGGAAGCGCGGGAATTATCTCGTTCGGTTACGACGATGACGACGCCAATGGTCCGAGTCTCCGTCTGAAGGCGCCCTCGCCTCTTTGGATGCGGAGCTTATGGCCATTCTCACTGAGGCGGTGGCAGATATGGTGCTGGAGTGGACAGCGCCCAAGGAGCTGCCGTCGGAAAGGTGGCCTCGGCGCGGGCCGCAAAGCTGAAGCGAGAGGCAGTTCAGGAAGTCGCAAAAAAAAAAAAAAAAACAGCGCTCCTGATGTGCGTGTCAGGGAGGAAAGAGCGAGCGCGGGACGTGTTCGTCGGACCGGTGCGAAGAGGGCGTGTTCCCGCCCAGAGTTCGACGAGAATGTGTTGTTTCTGAAACCGCTGTGTTTCAATAACAAGGTACATTACATGTCTCAGCAAAAGAGCTTCTCTCCCCAAAATTATTACCCGCCTCATAGACGGGAGACGCATCGCAGAGCGGAAGCTCGGGGAAACCCGAGGAGATGGCTATCTATGTCCCCGTGCATGATGCCGCGGACGAGCTATACCATTTCATATAGCAGTCAATGCTTTCCCGGTGGCTGGCGCCCAGCCCCCGCCGCAGCATTCATTGCCCTGTATGGCGATTCTGATTACTACACAGTGTGTATTCACAGTTGTTGCGCGATGCAACTGACGCTGTGTTACGTACACACCACACTGTTATGTGTAAGGATTTATGCCATTATATATTGCCCTGTGTCCTTCAGTGCAATGGCTATGCTGATTACTAACAAGTACGTGTTCACAGTTGTTGCGCGATGCAACTGACGCTGTGTTACGTACACACCACACTGTTATGTGTAAGGATTTATGCCATTATATATTGCCCTGTGTCCTTCAGTGCAATGGCTATTCTGATTACTGCAAGTACGTGTTCACAGTTGTTGTGCGATGCAACTGACGCTGTGTTACGTACTCACTACACACTGTTATGTGTAAGGATTTATGCCATTATATATTGCCCTGTGTCCTTCAGTGCAATGGCTATTCTGGTTACTACACCGTAAGTATTCACAGTTGTTGCGCGATGTAACTGACGCTGCGTTACGTACTCACTACACACTGTTGTGTGTAATGATTTATGCCATATATTGCCCTGTGTCCTTCAGTGCAATGGCTATTCTGGTTACTACGCAGTACGTATTCACAGTTGTTGTGCGATGCAACTGACGCTGTGTTACGTACTCACTACACACTGTTGTGTGTAATGATTTATGCCATATATTGCCCTGTGTCCTTCAGTGCAATGGCTATTCTGGTTACTACGCAGTACGTATTCACAGTTGTTGCGCGATGCAACTGACACTGTGTTTATGTACACACTGCACACTATATGAATTTGCTGTTGTATATTGCCCTGTATCCTTCAGTGGAATGGCTATTCTGATTACTACGCAGTACGTATTCACAGTTGTCGTGCGATGCAACTGACGCTGTACACACTGCACACTGATATGTGTAATGATTTATGCCTTACATATTGCCCTGTGTCATTCAGTGCAAATGGCTATCCTGATTACTACGCAGTGCGTATGTTGTCGTGCGATGCAACTAACGCTGTGTTTGTGCACACTACACACTGATATGTGTTATGATTTATGCCTTATATATTGCCCTGTGTCATTCAGTGCAAATGGCTATTCTGATTACTACGTATTCATAGTTGTCGTGCGATGCAACTGACGCTGTGTTTGTGCACACCGCACTCTGTTATGTGTAATGATTTATGCCATTATATATTGCCCTGTGTCATTCAGTGCAAATGGCTATCCTGATTACTACGCAGTGCGTATTCATAGTTGTCGTGCGATGCAACTAACGCTGTGTTTGTGCACACTACACACTGATATGTGTTATGATCTATGCCGTCATATTTTGCCCTATCCTTCAGTGCAAATGGCTATTCTGATCACTACGTATTCACAATTGTTGTACGATGCAACAGACGCTGTGTACACACAACGCAC